TCAACTAGAGGTAGGGAAAGAGTGGAATGAGAGAATAACAAGGGAAGAAAACGTGCGAGAGAAAGGGGAGGGAAAAGGGGAGATAGGTAAAAATAGAGGAGAGAAATATGACAGAAGAGAGGGAGTGTAAGAGAGATGAATGGGAGAATTGAGAGGGGGTGGAAAAGTGAGAAAATTAGCGCGAGTGGAGATTAAAAATGGTGTGGCTGAAATGATAGGAAAAGAAGAGTAAGGTGAGATGAATGAAGAGTAAGGTGAGAAGAAGAAGAGAAAGAAAAAGAAAATGTAATAAAATGAGAAGAGTAGAAAGGAGAGTAAGAAAATGGTGGAAAGAGAAGAGTAACTAGAAGAGAGGGAAGGAGATAAAAAGAAGAAATAGAAAAGAAAGAAGAGCTGAAAGATACGCGAGAAAGGAAAAGAATGAAAAGCATCGGGAAATTAAAAAAAAGGAGAGATAAAATGGGGAAGAAGAAGGAGGGAAATGAAAAAGAAAGGAAGAAAGGTAGAGTGAAATGGAAATAAGGAAGAAAATGATGAAAAAAAAAAGAAAAGAAAAGGAGAGAAGGTGAAGAGGAGGAAAGAAAAAAAGAAGGAAGACTTCGAAAAAGTGGAAGACAAAGAAAAGTGGAAGAAAGAAAAGAGAAAAAAAATGGATGGAAAAGATGAGATAAGAAAAATAATGATAAAGTATGGAAAAAAAAGGGGACATAAACGAAGAGATGAAAGAGAAAAGGAAGGACAGAGTAAAGAAAGAGAAACTGAGGAGGGAGGGAAAGAGGAAAATAAAATAAAAATAAAATGAGTGTAGAAAAAAGAATTGAATAAGAGAAAAAGAACAAAAGAGAAAATAAAAAAGAGAAAAAGAGAAATAAAAGGCTTATATTAAAAAAAGCGAGAGGAGAGAGTTAAAATAAAGATTGTGAGAGAAAAAGAGAAATATAAATAGGAAACTAAGAGAGGGAGGAAAAGAGATGAACGGTAAGAGAGAAGAGGAAGAAAGGGGAAATAGAGAGAAAAGGGAAAGAGAGGAGGAGGAAAAAAGGTTAGGAAAGGGAGCATAAAAGTAGACGAAAAGAAAGAGAGAAGAGACAGGAATGGGTGGGTGAAAAGGAAAAAGAAAGACAAGTGAAAGGAGAATGCAGAGTGAAGAAAAAGATAACAAAAAGAGAGAAGAAAAGATTAAAAAGAAAGAGAGAACCCCCCCCAAAAAAAAAAGAGAAAAAGAAGAAAAGCGAAGAAAATTGAGAAAATGAAATAGAAGACGACGAGAAGAAAAAAAGAATGACACGGCGGACGAACAGAAAAAAAAAGGAGGTAGAAAAGAAAGAGAGAAAAATAAAGAAAACAAGGCGCAAAGACTGAGTGAGAGAGAGAGAGAGAGAGAGAGAGAGAGAGAGAGAGAGAGGGGGAAAAGCTTTTAAACAAAGGAAGTGAAGATATGAATAAAAAATACGAAGAGAAAAAGAAATATGAAGATGAAGAGACGAAAATAAAAATAAATAAAAATTGTAGAAAAGAGAAAGAAGAAAAGAAAGAGAAAGAAGAAAAGAAAGAGAAAGAAGAAAAGAAAGAGAAAGCAGAAGAGAAAGAAGAAGAGAAAGAGTAAGAAGAAAAGAAAGAAGAAAAGAAAGAGAAAGAATAAAAGAAAGAAGACGAGAAAGAGAAAGAAGAAGAGAAAGAAGAAAAGAAGAAAGAAAAAAAGAAAAGAAGAGAAAGAAGAAGAGAAAGAAGAAGAGAAAGAGAAAGAAGAAGAGAAAGAAGAAGAGAAAGAAGAAGGGAAAGAGAAAGAAGAAGGGAAAGAGAAAGAAGAAGAGAAAGAGAAAGAAGAAGAGAAAGAAGAAGAGAAAGAGAAAGAAGAAGAGAAAGAAGAGAAAACAGAATGAAGAAAAGAAAGAGAAAGAAGAAAAGAAAGAAGAAAAGAAAGAGAAAGAAGAAGAGAAAGAAGAAGAGAGAGAGAAAGAAGAGAAAGAAGAGAAAGAGAAAGAAGAAGAGAAAGAAGAAGAGAAAGAGAAAGAAGAAGAGAAAGAAGAAAGAAAGAAGAAGGAAAAAGAAGAAGAAAAGAAAAAGAAGAAAGAGAAAGAAGAGAAAGAAGAAGAGAAAGAGAAAGAAGAAGAGAAAGAAGAGAAAACAGAATGAAGAAAAGAAAGAGAAAGAAGAAAAGAAAGAAGAGAAAGAGAAAGAAGAAGAGAAAGAAGAAGAGAAAGAAGAAGAGAAAGAAGAAGCTAAAACAGCATGAAGAAAAGAAAGATAAAGAAGAAAAAGGAGAGTGAAAAAGAGAATAGGAATGGAAAAAAGTAAAAGAAAGAAAGCAAGAGGTAAAGAAAAAAGGAGGAGGGAAGTCTACCTTGTGGTCGAGATAGTTGAACCTTACTTACCCGTCCTAGAAGTCTATTTTCAATCCTCGGTTAAAATTGTTTCGAGTGGTTTGATTTTTTACGGCTTATCAACTTTTCGATGGCTATTTAAAGTCGAAAAATATTTTGGGATTTTAGGAACAATATTTTCTTTTGAGTGAATATTGCATTAATAATTTCTTGAAGATAATAATGATTTTCAGAAACAAGTCTCACTATTTTAACCCATAGATGGAGGGTCTGGGCGAAGAGGTGGATTGATTCTTTTCAGAATGGTATTTCCGTTCTCGATTTGCTCGTAAATGAATCTAACGAACTAGACTGGAATTCGAACCCGGCTTTCCGACTTCTCCATTCCGAGCCGTTATCCATTACAACATTTGCATATCCAAGCTTACAGCACGTGGTATTCCCAAGCAGTCACCCATCTAGGTACCGACCAGGATCCACGTTGCTTAACTTCGGTGATCGAGATATGACCAGAAACCTCTGTAAAAATTTGAAAAAAATATTACTTCGATTACTATGTTCTTTTTTAGTCAAGCCCCCCCACACCCACCCACTTAAGTGATTAGTGGAACATAATTCTTCCTTTTCGCCAAAACTGAAATGAAGGTTTTCTAGGCAAGTCATCAGGCAATGTATTTGAAATGTTAGCTTAAAAAAGTTTTCTTCCCGAAAAATTATAAGAGTTGCTATGTTCCCTTATCGTCCGGTTCATACTCCTCCCCAGTTTGTTGAACAGGAATAGATATTTATAATTTGTTTCCTGTTTAGGATTGGGTTTCCGGTTCCTTCTAAAGTTTACTTCAACTCTATGCTTCTAACGACTCCGCCTGAAATTTTGTTTAATATTATTTTTCCTCAATAGGAATAGATAGGTAAGTCTATCGCCGGGTTCACACTCCTCCTTAGTCTTTTGAACAAGAGTAGAGGTTTATTCCTTGTTTCATGTTTAGGTTTCTGGTTCTTTCTAAAGTTTTTTTATTCTCTTTCACTGTCAGTAACTCCTTGCATCTTAGTGGCATTTTCGCCTTGCTTGGGCTGATTAAAAACAAAAGCTCTGAGAACAACAGAGGGAGTCGTCTTAAGAGCAGACATTTAAATTAACATGGAATCCTACCATAACCGATCAAAGCTCTTATAAAATAAACAGAAACTAACCCTTAATAGCATTAATTATGAACATTACAACAATATACTGGGCGGAGTTGAACATTAAGAATATGTCTACCTTCAGCAAGTGATTAGAACGTTCTCATTTAGACTATAAAACCCGTGTTCGAATCTCACCATGGTCGATTTGTCAGGAAGGAAACTTCCTGATGTGATCGGACTGGAGGGGTCGATCTCAGAATGTGTGGTACCTTTGGGAAAAGCCCTTATGAAATAAAAACTTTGGAAAGTACCTGAAAACCATACCACGGATTGACTCACGCCTTGTGACAGAATCCTTGGGAGCCGTTGATAGCTTTGCTAGCACGAAGTCAAAAGTCATTGTGGCCGAGGGCTTGAGCGTGCTGGCCTTTTTTCAAATTGTTGATCACGCTAGATAACACGCTCTTTCACAAAAAAACTGTAACTAAGGTCTGCTCAGAATAGTTGCAGTATAAACTACAGGCGGATTCTTTGGGTGTTGAATAAACATAAATACGTCTGAGCAAGCGTCTGCAATAGGGATTGGCTAGCCAATCGAATACGAGTGGCCAGCTATACTACCTTCAGTAACTTTTATACGGTCTGCAATAGCAGTTACATGTCATTTATTATAGCTGTATAATAAAAATCACCAGAGTGGTTATATGAACATTACAACCACTCATGTGAGCCGAAAGCTTAGATCGGTGACCAATATATTAAAGAAATATCCAAATGTTGGAGAGTTTTTGTTTTTATTTTCTCTTAAAACAAAGCCATTATACGACGTTTAGAAAGGCTCATGATCAAACATAATAGACATTCGTTGTCTTATATTTAACAATATATGTTTGAATATATGTTAAAACATAGTTTTAATGCATGTTATATTTATGGGTTAAAGTGCTCATTATCAAGGATGGGACATATGTCAGCATAAAAATGGACATTCAAGTCCATACCCAGATGCTATCTAAAACATTTAAAACTGCTAACCGCTTTCTCAACAGCCTCTGAGTTTTGACTTCAATATACACTTTTATATATATATTAGCAAGGCCTTTAGAAACTGCAAGATCCAATTACATATATAATTACTAAAACGCTATATATAGGGTGTATCAAAAATACTTTTAGAAGGGGGCGATTTCCTCTGACCAAAAAAGGACAAACGTCTATATAAACATGTCCGCAAATCCTTCGTTTTTAAGATATAGATTTTAAAGTTTACAGTAGATCCTGTTAAATGTACAGCCCAAGAAATAATCCCCAAATAATTTGACACATTTTGGGGACAGGTTCATGACATCAAAACAAGGTAAAAAAATCAATATAAGCAGATGTCCAAAAGGCCATCGTTGTACCTCAACACAGCAATATTTTTGATACACTATATATATATATATATATATATATATATATATATATATATATAATACCGAGCGGCGACACGAGCACAAGGTCTGATGCATAAAACAGTCTGTTGTCAATAGGTGCCGACCTCAGTACCCACTGCATACACACCATCCGATGATATATATATATATATATATATATATATATATATATATATATATATATATATATATATATATATACAAAGTGACTATTGAAGTCAACACTCTGATCGTTATTTTAGTGGATACCCATATTTGAGTAGATGCTCCGTTTATTTATAAAACAGTACGTTTATTTATTTTATTTATATTTATTTTATTTCGTTGCATCAATTGCTTATATATATATATATATATATATATATATATATATATATATATATATATATATTCATGAATTATTCACACAAAACAAATGCAAAGGTTAATGATTTAATTGGCGAGAAATCCATCGTCGCAAAACAATTCAAATAATATACAAAAACCTCCGAATCCGTTATGAATGGAAAGATCCTTGTTTCTATAAATTTCTGCCGCATTAGTTCTTATTTTTTACTACAAGCTTTCGTCTGTTCCTACAGACATCTTCAGGAATAGATGTTGTTCTTGTTTTTTCTCTTAGTAATAAGAGGACAACGAAAATATATGTATTGTTGTATCCGAAAATGCTATTGGAAATGAGTTATTGTTTTTGTAGCGTGCAGTAGTAACGCTGAGTTTGATTTTAAATTTTTTACAGTTGTGCGTTCATGTACAAATATGGTGATAAACGAATTTTTTACTGGTAAATTTTCTGTCAAAGTGGCATGAACTATATTGTTCAATAATTACAGTAATGTCGCACTTATTATCCAAAATTCTCACTCACTCATATATATATATATATATATAGAGAGAGAGAGAGAGAGAGAGAGAGAATACAAATAAAAGGTTTGTCACTTATCTGATTCATGTTACCTTCAGCATCCCGACTCCAGTGTTTTGTAGATGGACACTCCATGCGTTGCTCTGTCCACTCGTCAGGTGGAATCATCAATTTACTGCTTATACTTCACATCGTTATCCATCTCAAGGAATGATAATTCATTTTTTTTCTACAGAACAACTTGGGCATGAGTAAGCTGCACAAACAAAATCCTACGCCCAACTGACAGCCAAGATCGGGCCCAGTAGGGCAGAGACGAGAATTTGCAGTGAATCACGATACCAAGTTTCAATGTAGGTAATATCCTAACGAATTCAGAATTTTCTTTTCCTAGACTGGTTACCATTCAAGGCAAGAGAGCTCTGTTTGCCGTGCCATTTAACGCATAACTAGCGACAAAGAGATCGTTGCCAGCTTTCCCCAGGGTAATAATATGAAAGTAAGCGCAGTGGACTCGGCCAGTATATATATTATTGGAAGTCGTCTAAGTTCACAATACTTATCGAAGGTCGACTCGGAGTGTCGTTGTTTCTCACTAGTCAGAGCCAAGACAAGAATAATTATTATTATTGTTATAATATATATATATGGCTTCTATAGACTTGGATGTCAACTGGTCTAGGAGAAGGACAACTCTGAATTCAAACCCGGAGTGGAGCCCCTAAGACGGATGGACGGCACTTTTTGCTACCTTTCGGCAACTCCTGCAGCCGCGCTGGTACCAAACTGTATTGGTTTATCCTCTCCTTTGGACTCTGCTAGCAAGAGGGGAACTAGACGTCTGGGCAGCGCTAGTTCTCCATACATCCCGCCAGGGCTAATAACGCACCGTACTACTCCATTGTCTCACGGGACGGACGGATGACGACGACGACGACGACGATATATATATATATATATATATATATATATATATATATATATATATATGTCAGGTCATCCCATAAGTTCTGTCCGAATTTTGAATAATGAAAACAAATGACCAAATGTTACAGTTAATTACAGATTCAATCAACAATGTATTTTCACTGATTATCTATGACTTCCTTCCATCTATTAACAAGCTTACTAATTCCATTACTGTAAAATTCTTTTGGCTTTGATTCGAAGAACTCACAAATGTCAGTTTTAACCTCTTCCTGTGTTAGAAAAGCTGTTTCTTCCAAATGATTATGTAAGCTATGAAACAAATGGTAGTCTGAAGGAGCAAGATCGGGAGAATAAGGTGGATGAGGAATTTTCTCCCAACCAAGTTCTTCGATCTTTTGTGACATGATTCTTGCTGTGTGGGGTTGCGCATTGTCCTGATGAAACATCACCTCTTTTCGATTCACTAGAGCAGGTCTTTTTTCCTCAAAGCATGGTTCAAATGCTTTAATTGCTGACAGTATATTTGAGCATTAATTGTTGCATTAGGGGGTAAGAATTCAACGTGGATTATTCCTTGGCGATCCCACCAGATTGAAAGAAGAACCTTTTGCCCATGAAGTTCCTTTCGGCTGTGGCTGGGGTCCTTCCCCTTTACCAAGCCACTGTCTACGACGCTTAACATTTCGATAAAAGATCCATTTTACGTCGCCAGTCACAAGTCTATCCAAAAAAGGTGAAACAAGTTGGCGAGAATGGAGAGAAGATCAGATGTCAACTCGGGATTTGAGGTTGTTTTCAGACAATTCATGAGGCACCCATTTTCCAAGTTTAGGAACTTTTCCAAGTTGTTGAAGATGATGAACAGTTGTATGGTTTGAACTGAGAACCACTGCCAATTCCTCAACTGATAAAGCAGGATTTTCTTCAAGGGCTGCTTCAAGAAGCTTTTCATCAAACTCAACTGGACATCCGGTTCGATCTTCATCTTCAAGGGTGAAATCTCCACCTCTGAATTTTGCAAACCATCTTCTGCAAGTTCTTTCATTCACACATTCCTCTCCATAAACTGAGTGAATGTTTCTAGCTGCTTCAGCTGCTGAGTTTCCTTTCTTGAACTCATAAAGCATTATGTGCCTCAAATGATTCTTGGGTACTTCCATGTTAGCAGGGTTTTAATCAAACAAAATTTAATTTTATTGTTCTCTGAAATAAAATTTGATCAGTTTAAATGCATCTAAACATAAAAATAATGTTCAGCTCCGTTAGACGTTATAAAATACTCTTTAAATTGCGTTCATTTAAACAAAAAGTTAAAATTCGGACAGAACTTATGAGATGACCTGATATATATATATATATATATATATATATATATATATATATATATATGTGTGTGTGTGTGTGTGTGTGTGTGTGTGTGTGTGTCTCTGTGTGTGTGTGTATTTAGGCAGCATATTTTAATTCAAACAGGTTTGGTTAAATAATTTAGATGTATTATATCTGTTTATTTTAGTTTTAATTTAAAAAATAATAAATAAATACAATTACCTTCCTTTTGAATTTCAATTTGACCCTGGAACGTTGTAAAACGCAATGGAACTAACAGTGTAAAAAATATTTTTGAGAGAGAGTGAGAGAGAGGGGGGAGAGATAGAGTGAGAGAGAGGGAGAGAGAGAGTGAGAGAGTGAGGGAGAGAGAGAGGGAGAGAGTGAGGGAGAGAGGAAGAGAGAGAGAGAGAGAGAGAGGGGGGCATGGTGGTGTAATGAGAAGAGCCCTGATAATCGGATTGATGAATCGGAGAGCAGAGTTCGAACTTCAGTCGAGTTCATTACTTACGTGCTCATACCCTTGGGAAGAATATGAATCCATTTCTTCTCACCCCAGCTATGGGTAAATAGTAGGACAGACTGGCTTCAATAGCCTTGGCTGGCAACCGGTCTAAGAGAAGTACGACTAAGAGGTCGTATGGGGACTTAATTGCACACTGTGAATGAGTTTTCAGTATTCAGCTCGTCCAAAAAGTCTGGTTGGTTTTACACAAGCCTTCAACACTGTAATCAAATGATATGTGCTGGTAGTCTGGCTGTAAAATTGTCCAAATCGTGTTATTGCATAATTTTCCATCCCACAAAATGTTTAATATCTAAAAATCACTAAACCCATTGAGTTTTGTTCTTGGTTTTCAGATGAGACATTTTAGCCATCTTGATATCATTTGTCGTAGCAATCACAGAAAAAACTGAGTTATTCAGCTAGAAAGAGAACCAGTTAAAATCGTTTTGTGTCAGCTCCACTGTTTTTGCCCAACTAAGCAAAGGTGAGTAGAAAAAGATCCTTCAGGCCTTCAGTAATGGTACCAACATTCATACTCTGGCTTCCATTTTCAAAGTCCATTTAAGAAACATCAAGAGAATGATGAACAAGTGTTATGGTCCGGTTCCTTGTACCACGGTGATAGTCCAATGTAGAACCAATAAAGAAGAACTCGAACACAGGTATGGAATAACACAGATATATTACAAACAGGAATATATACAGAGAAGTAAAAGTGTTAGTATGAACAATCAGGTTTAGTTGAGAGAACAATGTAGTCTCAACCAGTATCACTATTCCAATGTCTTGCAGTAATTGTCTGAACGCGACTCTGTTTCGGACTGCCTCTGACTCGACTCTTGACTCGAACTACTGACTCTACTAACTGACCCCTTGCCTACTCCTGAGGTGCAGTATTTATTAAGTATGGAATAGTCCATTATTATTATTATGGGTAAGATCCCATAACAACAAGTAAAAAAAAAAAAAAAAAATAAATAAATAAATAAAGGAACAGTAGTGAGAAAAATTGACTCAGGGTGTCAACAGGAAGAGGGATCATTTCAAGAGCTAAAGAGATCAATTAGAAAAGATCCAACTCAATCCATAAGACGTTTGACACGTGAGAGAGGAATTTCCGCTATTACAGTCCAAAGAGCAGTGAAAAAAAGACTTTAAAATGAAATCGTACGTGAAAACTGTGAAGAACCTTATTACTCCAGGACGGAAAGTTAGAAAGTTAGAGAGGGCGAAGATCATCTTGAATAAGTTGGCAAGTGATTCTCTGAATATATATATATATATATATATATATATATATATATATATATATATATGAACTCTATTTCAAGTTTTCATGAGCTTCTGATCCTTAATAATGATTAACATTTATTCTTGTTTTATGATCGATTTCATCACGATTCTTCTGCTAAGAGAGTAATTATACAGTCTTATTTCTCAAAGTAGAGTCCAATAGTGTTATAAAAATTTCGGAGAATTCCAATAAGATATCTTTAATCATTTCTAAGATACTACGGTTCAAAGCTTAATCTAACAATTGGACAATTTTGCCGTTACACCCGGTATATATATATATATATATATATGAAAAAATATAGTCTTAAGATGTGCTATATTTATGGGATAAAGTGCTCAATATCAGAGATAGAGTGTGTGTAAATATAAAAGTGAACATAAAAGTCAACACTTAGAGGCGACAGTCAGTTTCATGCTATATGCAATCGTCAGGCCATATATATATATATTGTGCATATTTAGGCAGATATTTTTCATTAATGCAAGTTTCATTAAATAATATAGACAAGTTTTATCTATTTATTTTAAGTAAGTTCCTTTCATATTGTCTGATGAGCTAATAACATTATTATTGAAAGACGAAATGAAAACACCATATTGATACATGTTTAAATCCAATCTAAGCTTTCGGTTTACACAAGCCATTATCAAAGATGACAATTTCAATAAATCAAACAACACACGGACGAAACAACAATGATAGTCCGCCCTTGCTGCATGAAAATTTCCAAGTAACGACAAACTCGTATATACGAGACGCGGAAGCGAAAATCGCCTCGCAGCTTGTGACATCAGACATGACCACGCGAGAGTGAAAAACGAGATGTATTAAGTATGGGAAGCCGTTCTGTTACCACAAATATTATATTTAGTAAATACACGTATTGGAATAGATATTTCTGTTTTTTTAAACAGTTCAATTTATGCCTACCTGACTAGAGATCAAAAGTCTTATTAAAGAAAATGTCCCACTTGACAGGAACCGAAACTGTATTCACGTTTTAATCGTGGAAACTACTTAAAACGCAAGAAGCTGCGATTTTACAACAGCACCGTCCTCTCTATGCTACTATACGGCATCAAGACAGTACTTGTTCCTTCTTAATCTCAAGTTATAACCAGTAGTCTATTTAGAGAGATCATGCAAATGCGATAATAATAATAATAATAATTAGCAGTTTTATCGGACTTTATAATACACACAGACAGAAGAATGAAAACTGATTGCCCAGACATCGTGATCAAAGACAACAAAAACAAGATGTGCCGCCTCATTGACATGGCAGAGACTGTAGATTGTAATGTATCTTTGAAGATAAAAAAAAAAAAAAACTATTAAAATACAAGCATCTTGAAGTGGAAATATCTGAAAACGAAGCTCATGAGGATATCAATAATTCTATTTGTCGTTGGATCCCTCGGACTGATTGGGAAAGGTTCCAATAGACTCATTGAAGGGATTCCTGGTAGCCCATGCCTTAAAGAAATACAAAAAATTGTATTCACAAAAACAGTTCACACATTACAAAGAGCTTTATCTAAGTAAAATGCGTGTGATCTTATATCTTTATTTTTATTTTTTTTTACGAAAAATGATCAGAGAAAAATATCATGAAGATTTTTCTGACCTTAGGTCTCATGTTGGGATCCGCAAGAAAATGCATATACAACAAAAAGGAAAGGAAATAATAATAATAATAATAATAATAATAACAGACATTAAGTAGTATAATAAGCGAATATAATAAATTGATTCTGTCTAAATTAATCTAGAAACAAAAACGGCAGAGGAGGAACAGTAACTCAGCTAGAACTATGCAAACGGTTTATGTTCAAGTGTAAGTCAGTCATTACTCTTTTCGGTTGAAACAAAATAAATGTCCATAAAATTCTTACAATACAATAGTGTAATCAGTATTTCTTTTTTCTGTTTATACCTACAGCTATTTTGTCGTTTTAATCCAACGCATTTCCTTTGGGGTGATGCTGGAATTTTTTTAATCATTCTTGTTTTTTATAGGATATCGAAATATAGTTAAATAAAGGAGTTTTTTTCAGCATAGTACGATCATCAAGTCCCATGGCAATCACTACCTAACTTGACTTCTAAAATCTTTAATACTCTCATGGTATATTTCTCAGCATAGTATGATCATCAAGTCCCATGACAATCAGTACCTACCTGTACTTCTAAAATCTTTAATTCTCATTTAATTCTCTCGGCATAGTACGATCATCAAGTTCCATGGCAATCAGTACCTATCTTTACTTCTAAAATCTTTAATACTCTCGTAGTATATTTCGCAGCATAGTAAGATCAAGTCCCATGGCAATCAGTACCGACGTTTACTTCTAAAATCTTTAATTCTCTCATTGTATGTTTCTCAGCATAGTATGATCATCAAGTCCCATGACAATCAGTACGTACCTTTACTTCTAAAATCTTAAATACTCTCATGGTATATTTCTCAGCATAGTACGATCATTAAGTCCCATGACAATCAGTACCTACCTGTACTTCTAAAATCTTAAATACTCTCATGGTATATTTCTCAGCATAGTACGATGATCAAGTCCCATGACAATCAGTACCTACCTTTACTTCTAAAATCTTTAATACTCTCATGCTTTTTTTTCTCAGCATAGTACGATGATCAAGTCCCATGACAATCAGTACCTATCTTTATTTTTAAAATCTTCAATATCCTCTTGGTATATTTGTCTTGGGAATACGATCTTCAAGTCCCATAGAATTAATACCTTCTTTTACTTCTAAAATCTTCTAAAATATATTTCTCTGATGTTATTATCTGATCCTTCTCATTTTTTCAAGTGTTTCTCTCTTTTTCTCTTTATTTCTCTCTTTTATCTATCTATCTATCTATCTATCTATCTATCTATCTATCTATCTATCTATCTATTCATTTTCTGTCTCTATCTATAGATCTATTTCGATATATTAAGTATGTTAACGATCTCTAGTATGGATTAATGTCTTCATTTAATAGATATCAATTTCAAGAGGCTACCCAGACCCTGGAGCATCATTCAGCGAGAATTATCCCGCGCGAAACTTCATAAACATTTCGAGATGTCATTCAGTCATATTGCTATTATCCTGTTTACACTGGTCGTACTGTAGTTCTCATCTTTATTGTCATGTTCTCGACATTTCGGCCATTGTACGCTTCTGCCTTCTTCAGGAATTTCGAACCGAAATTCTTATTTCGTCTATTGGTGTATGTTGTTCTAGTTCCACGTGCCATGCCCTTTCTGGATATCTCAGTTTCAGTTAATTCCCTTTAGTAACTGAACTTTCCAAGTTTTTGTTCACCTCTGCTGCGGTCAGAACTCAAAACACTTTGCATCAAATCACTGGATTGTTTCGACCAACACTTTTATCCACTGGGCCATGTGTTCTTGGGAACAGTGTAAATAGTCACAATTTCAGAAATACTTTTTTAATATAGCCTTCTATACATTTTCATTTTTATCTTCAGTACACCGAAAACGAAACTAATAACATCTCGTCGCCATTGAACAGACCCCAAATTTGCTCCAGATGAGCGGTGATACCATTAATGAAGCTCTTTAACTGGAATGCTTATTGGATGTAAAGCTCAT